CAAGCTCTCTCCTTCTTTATTGAATTTCACACACTATCATATTGTAAAACACATATTCCGTTAAATATATTATATCTTATAAAATATTTATGATGTCATTTACCTTTCCTCTTATAGATAGATAAGAGTTTCGTCTAAAAATATAAAAAGTATGAAACGCGATTCATTACTATTGACAAAGCGTTTTATCGTTTCTACTGTATGTCGTATATATAAAGAAATTACGAAACGCGATTCATTATTCTTAACAAAGCATTCGAGTACACATCGTTTCTACTGCGTGTCGTATAATTGTGTTACATTGCGATGTTTCTTATGTTCATCATCATTATCGTCTTCGTTACGATTACTACGACGACAACGAGGACGTCGACGGATCGTCAAAGTATAGATACTGAAATAATTCTGTATCTACAAAAGTACGGCTACTTGAGTAACGCAATACGCAATTATCAGTCGAAGAGGAAGAAATTAAACAGACGATTTCGTTATTTCAAGAATATTATCAAATACAGGGTGATGGTACATTGAATAACTATACGTTGTATCAAATGCGTAAACCATGATGTGGTCTCCCGGACATTCTGCACCACGAGTAAAATACAGGTAGGAGGAAATGGGCGAAAACACATCTCACGTGGAACTTGCATTTAGCAGATGCGCACACTTTGAAAACTACCGTATTCGCGTTCTCGCTATGGGCCGCGACTTCGTCTTTATCATTCGAACGTAAAACGTTAAATCCCGACATCTTAATATCTTATCATAATGGCACACACACGTACGCTAATCGTAAGCGTAACGAAGAAATTTGCTCCTCTTCGTTTGATGGACCTGGTGGAATACTCGCTCACGCGTTCTATCCTTCAAACGTTGCCAATTACACCGCTGAAATACACGTAGACAGTGCAGAACTGTGGCATATATATCTAACCGAAAAATCTGCTAGTAATAAGGACTATCTGTTTAAAACGTTAACACATGAAATTGGACACGCATTAGGATTAACACACAGTTCGCGTGAAGACTCCATAATGTTCGCATTTATCACTGTTAATAATAATAATAAAATCGTGAAATTCAACATAGAGGACATTTTAGCCATTCAACAACTCTATGGAATTAAAAATCTAAGACTAACAATAACTACACAACCACCACCACCACTATCAACGACAACTACCGAAATTACGACAAATAAACCCGAGTACATAGATCTCTGTACTTTACAATATGTGGATACGGTGTTAGTATTACGTCATCGAATATTCGTCACGTATTAAAGTTATGTATGATCGATAAATATAGATGATACAAAATACGACGGACCACACTAAACAGCTACATGAATTTCCTTTCGAATAATTTCTCTTTATCAGCCGCGTATCAAAGGCCTTCAGGTGAAATAGTACTGTTTGTAAATAATATAGTTTACGTGGTCGAGTATCCCAGTTTCAAATTGAAAGAAGGTTGCCCAAAACGTCTCTCGAGTCTAGGATTTCCCCCGAACGCTTTGATCGATACCATAGTAAATACTAACAGAGGACAAACCTATGTAATCTTCAATAATAACAATGTGACACAGATAGACGAATGTAGTGTGAGTGTTCGCTCGTATCAATCGTTACAAGCGGTATTCCCAGGAATACCGTCAGCTCCGACCTTGGCCTTTCGATATATGGATGGTAATCTGTACTTTGCCAAAAAACAACAATTTTACAAATTTAATGAGTTCATGAGAACCGTAACAGAGACTGGTAAATTTAATATAAACGTACTCAACGTCGAATATTCGAGAGACGGATTATTGCAACAAATGCAGGATATCTTAGGTCGACTAATTCGATCAAGTAATACATATTGACAAAATACAACGAGAAATAAGACGAAGAAGGAGGAGGAAAGGACGGAAGGACATATATAATAAATACTATAATAGTTTTAAATGATCAGTATGAAAGGAACAATCATTTCGACAACATCGTTTGTACGCACTTTCCAAGCTTTTCGATCGTGAGGACGATACTGCGAAAAAAATACACAAAAAATGCTTAACAATACGGATATCGAAAATTATCTCATGGAACAGGACGATCATGATGAACGAAGCGCGAAGAAGAAGAAAACATTCGACGATTTAACTGGTGAAAATCCAGATAAAGAAAACAAATCAAATAAGTAGGTATTTTTTTTCTTTGCGTCTATTTTTTCCATCTACTAATTTTTTTCTTTAATTACAGACATCAAATCGCATATCGTTCTATCATACGCAGATATATATACTCGTATCTAATTATTGTATTTAAATATTTTTTGTGCATCTGCGTATGTAACTAGTTATATATCTTAGCTCTGTAACTGTAACTGTAACTACAATAGTTATGTTTTCCTTTGTATCTTATCAAAATGTATCTAAAATAATATTTTAGATATATAATATCTTTAGAGACACTCAACAAATAGCGTATTCGATTTACCGATTCGACGCGATTCCGAGTCAATAATCTCTTCTGTAAAAGAAGAGTTAAATTGTGCAGCTAAAAAAGAATATTGTATAAACATTTAAAAATTATTTTATTGTAAGTACATTTAGAAATTATTATGTAAACAACAATTAAATAAGATATTAAAACGTAAGGCCGAAAATAATTTTAAAAGAATAATCTTAAGCTATTATAAGAAAATAATATACAGAGATGAGTAAAGAACAAAGATTATATTACACACTTTAAGAAAAAATAATAAAAACTGTCATAACTTTTAATGTCATATATAATCTGTAATACTAAAAATATTAATCACGTCGATGTTCTTATTCATTGATTTATGTATTATATCTTATTGTTTCGATGATAATTACTTACACACACCAGCACGGATAACGTATACGAAAGCGTTTATAATGAATTCTCAAAAATGATATGTTGTAATATAACTTTATTATACATTAAATTCGGAAAAAAATAATGTTTAATTTTATAAAAAAAAGTTTGAAAAATTTGAAAAAACTGTGGGTGGTGGGGGTATATTGTCAAAACAAAAAGAAATAAAAAATTTGTTCTTCATAACTTTAAAGTACTCTTGAAACGGTATAACTTTTGTTTTAAAAAATGTTTCCATCTTTTATGCTTCCGACGATATTCGATTCAAAAGAGAAATGCTAGATGCGGTTTTCTCTTTTTCTGTTTTTTCTTCAAAAGAGTGTTTCACTTAAACATGAGTTAGCGCACGTATAAAAAAATACATGTCTCTTATATTTTTGTGTTTAATAACATATTTCATGTAAAATCAAATCAGTGCCGGACAGTTGTAAAACGTCTCTTGTAAGTCCAATTTTAAGAATTCCATACTTTTCCTTCATGCAAACTACTAGTCTCTGCTAGTACTTTGCGGATAACTATTTCGTGAGTACAGATTTGATTGTACAGCTTTTATATAAAGCAAAATGTTGTCACGACGCGACAGTTCCGAAGCGCCATATTGGACTAAAAAATAGTAAGAGAGATCTCAGTTTCGAAATTTTTTGCTGTACTCAGCGTAGACTCCACCTTACGTATTAATACGTATACTTTAATCCAGGAAAAAGATTTCCAAATCAGTAAGAAGCGAAAAAATTATTTGTTATACAAAAATTATACGGTTTAGTCAGTACTACGACTTTAGGATCTCCTTAAAGATAAATAAAAACTTATAATTCACATATTTGTGATTGTTTCTATATAAAATCAGGTAAAAACAAATTTTACAAATGCGAAATTAATATCTTTATAATTTACTTTTGCAAATTACGTTAATTAGTAGTTTAAATATAATAACAGTAGCTATATTATAGATAATCTTCCATCATTTGTAGATTCATGTTTGTAGTTTCTTAAATCAGTTTTATTTATATATTTTTTCCTTTCTTATTTTTTTCATAATACAGTTTTAAATATAAAATCGGAGTTCGATTTTGTAGCGTAAATTCGCACATTTGGTAACAAGGAAATGTTCCAAATTACAAAAGCGATATACAAACTAACGCTATTAGTCGAAAGATTACGTTTGAAATAGATATTCTAAATAGACAAATTTTGGGATCCTATAGATTCTATACCCGATTTGATACAAATCATATTTGGCCATTTTAATTTTGACACAAAATATCTCAAGAACGACACATTTTTGGAACAAATGTTTCAAATAATAGTTTAGAGTTTGAAGAGGGCTATTAAATGAACTACTTAAATTTTGGATTCAGAACTCATTTTGAGCTCAATAAGATTAATTTTTTTTCTATAATATACAAATGCCTACTTTTTATTGCAGATTCCTATTCTATGGATAAAAAAAAGGAAATTGTTTCCGATCATTTTTTGCTAAACCTTCTTTAAAGGTTCTACTTTGGAGGATCAAAAAAATCAATTTTTTTACATTTTTTTGCATCTCTAAAGTGCAGAATGTGCTTATAAAATAATTTTGTAATATTCAAAATATTAAAATAATTTATGACTTATTAAATCGAATTTTGCACCAATCGAAAATCAAATGAGCTCAACGGAATTATGCGCAAAACAAGCAAGAATCGAAGAAAAAAAGAAAGGTTTAAATGCAGCAAAATTTGTTCTTCGAACATAGGAGAAATTGACTTATATAGGCCAAAAATCGCTGAATAAATGTAAGTTGCAAAATGTTATAGTTAACTATTGTAAAATCATTATTATAAAGTTAAAAAACTTTATTTTTTCGCGTTTTTTTCGAATTTATGTTTTTCAAACTGGCGAGAAATGTATAGTTTCAACCGATTGACTTGAAGTTTTTTCCATGTAAAAGACAATTTTTATGAAGCCATGAACTTAAAAATGTCATAAATTTTCCAAATAACTATTTCTTTAAATAAGTTGAAAATGAAAAAAAATTAATGAAAATTGACACTCAATTTCAAATGACTATGTTGGTAATATCGTTTTGCGGTTACTCACAACGACACGCACTATTGATGTTCTTGGCATACCAACCGAGTGTCGGCACAAGTGAGCTGCTCCCTTTATTTGTACCATTACGCATGACTCTCAGCGGACACTCCGCATTCTTTGTCAGCTCTACAACACGTACTGTATACAATAAACGGTGTTCTTTTTTCGTATCCAGCTTCATTCACCACTCAGTTCCTTTGAATTTCCCGGGAACCTCATCAGGTTATGAGCTCAGGACTTACAAAAAGAACAAGTGAGTAAACATGTACATATCTTTGCGAATATTTGATGTTGCATCACGCGTCTCGACACGCGATGAAGTGTGAGAACCGAAGCAAAGTTGTCTTAGCAAAGACAACTTTGATATATGGAAGTTGCAAATGCAAGCGCTATTAATTAAGAACGGTGCTTGGGTATATGTTAGTGAGAAAATTCTGAAACCCGTCCTCGTCACCGGAAATGTGTCTCCTCAGTTAGAAGTCGATACGTGGGTGAGGAACGACAATAAGGCAAAATCAGACATTATTTTATCAATAAACCCGTCGGAACTAAAGCAAATTAGTTTCAGTAACGTACCGGTCACTAAATAGGAGATCATTAGTCGCCTATGTAAAATTGTTTTAAAAATGTTAAAAATTTTAATATATTTTACATATTTTATACATGTATGTAATATATAGAAATATATTATATATATTTAAATATATGTATACATATGTGAAATATGAAAAATATATTAAAATTTTCAACATTTTCAATGTTCTTAAGCGACTAATGATCTCTTATTTATTAGTGACCGGTACGTTACTGAAGCTACGTTGGACGCGCATGCGTGAAACCCGGTCCGTCTAACAACACTGCGTTCGGGCTCTCGAGCAAACTTATGAGAACGTTGATTTTACCACATTTCGACGGGCCGCAAATGATCGCGCGTATAGTTCTCGGCAGCATTTCGCCGTGCTGGCGCTTTTTCGCTGCCTCCTATTATTCGTGATTTTGCATCGCAGTTCGTGACGCGTATCGTCAGCGATTGCCGATTCAAATTTCGCACTAAAGGCATGCGCTCTCGAACGCTTACTTAAAGGCGCGCAAACCATGTGCTTTCATCTTGAAATTCAATTTTAGCCTTAGAGGTCTTTATATTCTCTTCTAGATTATTCTTGTTTACAAGTAAATGCTCTCCACTCCGGCCCTATGTCAGCAAAGATGTGTATTGCTCGCTCGTTTGCGACTTTCAATATTCGGCACTTTGGAAATACAAATCGTATTGTGAATATGTAGCGTTTTTTGAGTATTGGTGGTTTTCTCTTAATAAATGACATTGACCGATTTCTATTGTTTGAATAGATATTTCCGATGTATTTTTGCGCGTTGAATATGAATTCGTCAATGAAATTGTTCTATCACGTCAAGTTTTTGAAAAAATGAGATTAAAGGTATCAAAATTAACGTTTTTGCCACATTTGTGATTTTTTTTTAGCAAAGAAAATTTTTTCTCTACTTTTGTTTACGCCATCGCAAAATGCTTAAAGTGTAAACTTTTATCTTTAAAATATGTTTTTTTAACGTCGTACGTTTTTTTTCACCGAATTAGTCTCTGCATAGTCACACTAAAAAAAACATTTTGTGTCAAAAACGTTTTTGAAGAAAATGTTTTAAAAACTGCATGATGATTTTAGTAGTAAGCTTTTTGAAGTCACTCAAGGTTTAGAAATCCGAATGTAAAATCAGTTTTTCGAAATGGCAGATCCAATATGGTAAATCCAATATCATAGATTTTTGTCATTGCGCTTCAATTTAATTTAAAAAATGTTATTCAGAATATTAATTTCGGAATTTTAAACATACGTAAAAAATTTTAAATTATATTAAGTAAAAAAATTATTAACTGGACTGAGAATGTCCTGCA